GTTCCAAGTCATAAAACACCAGAGCTGTTGCACCTTTGCCCAAGGCTGTTGTTGAAGTACTTTGCAGATTGATGAGGCAGAGGTCACTGGGGCTGTGCTTGGGGTTTGTCTGCTCCTTACCTACCTTCCTACAAGCAATTCTTCCAGTGGGGCTGTTGTGCATATGAAAGGTCAGGCTTAAAGGCTCTGTCTCCTCTCAGGCTGTACAGGACAAGCACTGGCTTCTTGGCAGCCTGGGACAGGCAGCTCTGCTCCTTAAAATAAAAAGTGGCAAGCAATAAGGCATTTAAATTATCCTGAAATGATAGAACTTGCAGACACAAAAAGCTAAAAGATGTAAAAAACCCCCAAACCTAGATAAGACAGATGTCACTGCTTAGGGTGAAAAATCTCTTCATGGATGCTGCATTCCTGCAACCCCAAGTGTGCTGCTCACTCCTGTACATGGTGCAGTGCCAGGCCAGGACTTGAGCTTCTGGATTTGCCCATGTATTTCATGCATGGCTTTAGGCAGCTATCATATATTTCTGTGCCTTTTTTTTTTGTTTTTCTTTAGCCATGTGCAATTCAGGATGAACACCTTTCTGTCTTCAGGGTAATTAATGAACTGCAAAGCCCTTAGATGTCTTCAGAAGGAGAGTACTGGCCAATGGAGGCTGTGATTGCTGCAGGAGGGAGATGTAAGCCCTGTCCAGCCCAGGACACAGCTGGGACCCCCAGATAGTGGGGTTTCAGGCAGAGTGTTGAAGGCCACTTGGGTGAAACTTTCTCTGGGTCTGGGACCTTAATCAGCATTTAAACACTGTACAAACACCCTGGGCAGATAAGCAAATGCATGTGAAACCCTCTGGGCAAGCTGTTGATGAAGGAAAGCAAGTGCAGAGAGAGCAGGAGTGGCACTGGCGAGGGCGGCTGCAGTCCTTGGCATGGTGTAAGCTCCCCGTGATAGAGCCTGGCTCTCCTGTGCTAAGTGAGTGCTACTGGCTCCATCCTGTTCTGCTGCCCAGATACGCTTCAGAGCTCTTCAAAGGGATAAAAATATATTTTTAACCTGAGGCAGCTGCCTTTTTTGTGTGGTACATTTTTTTCTCGTAGCTCTGGAAGTGACAGGTTGTTTTTCAGCCCCTCTGTTTCTCAGCTGTCTCGGCAGAGGTGCCTAGAGGTCTCAAACCAGATTCTCAAAAATTTTAGCACTGGAAATTGGTAGTTGCTTTTTGAAAATGTTGGCGAGACGGTGCAGCTCCCTACAGACGTTAACTGATGGCCATTTGAACAGGCTTTTTCCTCAGCCAAGTCCTCGCCCCGTTGAAGCAAATGGGAATTTTCCTTGAAAAAGGCCATAAAGAAATCGTTTTCTTGGCAAGTAGAGAGGTGTTTCATGGACTCCACATCAGCGTTCAGGAGAACTTCAGCTATCTGCTTAGGTTCCTGCCACACTTGTCCCACCCTGCACAAAGCTCTCTACCTTTTGATCCAAAATAACACAGGGGATGTTTTCCACATGCTGTAAGAAAGAACTATAAAACAATTGTTTTGGAGTTTGACACCACTCCCTTACAGATATATTTAGTGTGAATTGAAATTGGTCAGCAAAAAGGCGTTGGTCAGGATGACAGATAGATTAGGGCTCTGTGTCTTGAGGCTATTACATACCTGCCCATCCCATGCTAGTAGGGTTGGTAGGTGGCTTCATTAGTTCATGGATTGTAATAAACAAGCATGACTTGCAGCTTTTGGGCAGCATCAGAAAGCACTGTCTGGCTGTAAGAGGGGTTATTTGCCTTGTGTCATGCTCTGTGCTGTCCCGACCTTGAGTCTTTATCTCTCCACTCTTCTTGTTGCTCCCTGGCCCTTTTGCTCTTTCAAATGTGGTCCATCACACCTGTTTCTCAGCCTTCTCCTATGCGTGCACCTTGTCGTGAAAGAAACATTGGTGCTCTGCACATGGGGCCAAACTCTTTTGTCTCATCTCCCTTCCCTTGTGATGAAGCCACCCCTGGAAGCTCCAAGTCGGGATAGCTTCTCTTAAGAGCACCACCAGATTTGTGAGAGGGAAAAGTGGCAATGGGGCTCTGCCATCAGCCCCAGGTGGACCAGTCCAGCTTGGCAGCAGGGTCAAAGGCATGGCTCACCATGGCTGACTTGGCTTTAGAGAGGAGAGCTTACAGTCAATAGCAGCTAGACCTTCCTGGCTGCTGATTCAGTCTTGCTCCTGTGATGGTGCCTGGGGAGCCAAGACCAATCTCTCCTTGTCCCTGGGTGTGTTCACCCACATTGGCCTGCACACTCCACTCCCATCAGTGGTTTTCTTTGGGCTGATACTTGTTAGCATTGGAAAGTGAGAAAAATGAACAAAAATATTATCAGAAGCAGGTTTTGTGAATGAATCAGCCGACAAGAGGCTTACCAGCTCGCCTGCATTTACTAGCATAGTGCTTATTTGGGCAGATGTCGATGTATTTTAGTTGGAGGCAGGAAGGAGTGAGAATGGATGGGGGAAGACATCACTTCCAGTTTGCTGCTTTTCTGTCAGTTTGTACCATCTTTTTCTGAATGAAGCAGAGGACTGCAGTGTGTCTGAGAACCTGCCCTGCTGCTGCCCTTGTTCTGCTGTTGTTGACAGTGTGTGGGGCAACAAGAAGAGGAGCACAAAAGAGGTCAGAAGGCTAAAACTCTCCTAAGCCAGCCTTGCCTCTCCACCCTTGCCCATCTCTTCATGGTGCTTTTTCAGTTGATTTCTCTCTAAAGGCAGCCTCATGGCCTTCTCTCTCTTCACTATGTGTTTTTAATTAATGGGGAGACTGGTGTATAAACAGAATATTCCTGCTCAAAATATTGCTTGTCTGACTCCTAGGATGATGGCCAGATGGCAATCACCAGACAGCAGCCTAGACTTTGAGCTCGCCCATCTGGCTATCAAACCTGGTCTCAATTCTCATCTGGAACCAGAACTGAGGAAAGTAATGGACTTTGCCAGATTGGTTTTGCCCCATGTTTGCTTTTCAGTTGCTACCTAAGCAGCTAAAAACCTGCAGACCAAATGCTTTTAGTATTTCTGGAAACTTCTGAAGAAGTTCCAAAAGATACTGGACAAATCTACTGAGGGATGGGTCTTTTGGTGGCTTTTCAGTCCTGTGGGTCAGATGCAGTCTTCGGCCATGAAAGTGCCCTTACTGCTGGTCTGCAGCACAGACTGGGAATGGTCCTTCTGCACCCAAGCAGCTGCTGATGGTCTCTCATGAATGGCAGGCTGGGCTGGATGGCTCCTTGATCGAGCCCACCTGAGCCATCTTTGCATCAGGTAGCTGCATGTTTGCTGGGTAAATTCAGACAAAACTTTTCTTGCCGTTTCTCCTTTTCCCCGAGCTTTTCAACCCCAGTTTGGGGTTGAAATACCTAACAAGAGCTTAGAAAGCTGTGGCAGAAATAAAACACTTTCTATTGAGATTTTTCACTCTGTCATGACAGTAGGGCTATGCTGACAGTAAGGATAAACATCATCATGCAGATTCTGAAAAAAGGAACTGTTAACATCTGTAAATGCTCTGTATGCTTGGTCCTCGGAGAAGCAGGAGAGATCCATAAATTAAGCACTGTTACGTGAGCTAAAGCATTGCTTGCCTTGCCTCATGCACAGTTCGATGTGATTTCTTTACCTCTAGATAAGTGCCTGAGTTCCATAATGCTGGGAAGCTGAAATTGGAGGTGCCAAAGAGTTCCAAAGAGTTCTGATGCTGGGAAGTTCGGTGCTACAGTTCTTCCTTGGCAATACTGAAAGACACTTCCTGTTTGTCACCATCACCAGAACAGCCTGGTCTGTCCCCTGGTATGGTACCTGTGGAGCTGCTGAAGAGGTTTTGTGTAGAGAAATACATACAGAGACGTACAAAGCCTGGCCTGGGTTATTGCACTGGGAGGTGATGTTCATGTGTGGGTTCAATCCTAATTTGGGCTGGAACGGACCTCTGGAGGTCTTGCTTAAGTCCCAGCTTAATTCAGGGTCAGCTTCAATATTATATTTAGCTATAGTACTATATGTGCTTGCTCAGCCAAATCAGAGCAGGCAACAGGGAGTGATCAGCTATCACCTCCTAGGTGTTTGGAGCAAACAGAATGAATTGAGATCTGTCCTCATTGCCACTGCCAAGTCCAAAGAGACTGGTGGCTGCAGCATTGTGACCATCGTGTCCTGCTGTGGCAAGGTTTACTCCCACAAATTCCTGGTGAATTGGGAAAATGCATAAAGCACAGCAGAGGAGATGGAAAAATACCAGAAATCCCCAGATTTCTTCTAACTGATTTTGAAATGGCTGAACTAGCTGGGATCTTGTGGTGTTTAGCAGTGGCAGAGTTGTGACTGTTCCACGGTTAGCAGAAGTGGCCACATGCAGAAGTAGGTAGAAGCTAAATGAGTAACACAGTGTATGAGAAACAATGGGAAGGATGGTATGGCAAAGATGATGATCACTGAAATGGCAAGATCTCCAAAGGATGTTAGGGTGGCCACATGGCCACAGTACAGAGGTGAGGTATTTTTGAAAGCAGAGCTGAGAATTTATTTTAGCACATGAATGTTGAGTAAGTATTCCTGGAGATACTCTGGGAGATGACAGATGGACTCAAGGTATTGTTACTAATCACTGTGGTTTTAAGTGTTGGAGCTGAAGTACATTTGGCATCTCTAATGCAACTGGACTTGTAATGGGAAAATTGCATTCTTGGGAAGTAATTTAGAAGGTCACAAAAAAGCCAGAAAGAACTTCTCCAGCAGCGATTTCGCCTGCTCCCTAAACTGTCTTTTAGAGTGGTAATAACTCCAGAATGAAAGAATCTATTCTCACCTTCCAGATGAAAGGGCTAACGCAATTTAAAATTTTTGCATGCAAAGATTTTATGGCTTGGTAACCAGCCACGTCTGAAAATGATTCAGGGCAGGATGAACATGTGAGGCAGCGCCTGACTGAGCTGGACACTTTCCTTGTCTGCCCTGTCTCCTGCAGATAATGGTGATGACCGGTCTGAGAGCATTCTTGCTGAGAACCACGTGGATGGCACCGTGGGGATCCTGAGTGGAGCTGGAGGGAGGAAGCCCATGAAGACGGGCATGAAGGAGCTGGCAGTGATGAGGGAGAAGGTGAACGAGCAGCAGCGGCAGATGGGCAAAGTCAGCAAGGCCCATCACAACCATGAGGACTCCAAAAAGTCACGGCTGTCGACAGGCAGGGTGAGAGGGCAGGGCTGTGGGGAGCTAAGGGGGGCAGCTGTGGGCTCACTGGGAAATGCTGACTGCAAAGCCTAAGTGGCATCTGCAATAAACTGTTTTAAAAACAGAAAAAATAAATTGAAAGAAAAAAGTGGGGAGAAGCAAAAGAGGAGAAGCAAACATTTTTGGCCCGATGCTGGGGCTGAACACACCATCTGATGAACTTTGATATGCTGGTCAGGTGGCATTATTTTCATTGCAGCTTCACCTCTGGAAGGGGGGTTTCTGCTGGCTGAACACCCACCTCTGCAGGGGTGCAAGCATGCTCTTTGCCCATGGATTGGCTTTCTCACACCCTTTTTCCCTAAGCAGGAGTAGCCCAAGGGGATTTGAGGGGCCAGAAGCAGGGCTGTCTGCCTGCTGCAGGGCAGCCCCAGTCCGGGTTAAAGGAGGCCACAAGCCCCGAGGATGACCTGTGTGGCTGTCCTGTAGTAGGGAGAGTGCTCTAAGACCTCCCAGTCTACTCGCCTGTCTGTTACTCAGTTCTTGGCCGTGGCTTCCCTCTAGTGGGAAGTTTGGTCAAGGCAACTAGATGGGATGGGAATGGGGATGGAGATTGAAACCCACCCCAAAGGGTCCACAATATACATCCCTGTAAACATACAGAGTATTAATATCTGGGGAGCACAGGGACAGAAAGGAGCTTTAAAAGAGTCTGCATGCCTTCCAAAGACTAGGCAAAACAGAAGTTCAAAATAAAATGCAGGCACCGTCAGCTTTGAGAGTTCACACACTGCTGCTGCTCCCTTGCAAAAAAAAACTCCTCACCCACTGCAAAAGCAGAGAGGTGTGGACTCAGTTTGGCTCACATCAGGCATATTTCAACCACACTGCCTTGGCTGGAATCCCTGTCTGGGAGCTGCTGTGGAGCAAGAAGGATGCCTCCAGAGGCTGGCTTGGGGTACTCCCATTCCCATCCCCTCCACTCCTATGGAGTCTCACATGCTTTTGAGTTGTACTTCTGGGCATCACAGGTGTGTACTCTGGGCTATGCTTATGGAAGCCCTCCTCATCTGTCTGGACTGCTTCATGTCACTTGTCACCACCAGTGGGAGCCATGCTAGCCTCTCTGAGGTTTCTCCTCTGTATCCAGGACTTGGGACCTGGTATTGTGTTGGCTCTTGGCCATGTCAGGTACATGGGGGATGTGCATGTCTATGCACAACTCTGATTTTGGGTGCCTGGAAGTGAACTCTGGAGCAGGACCCAACGGCAAACCTGTGTCTTTAGGGGTGCACATGTGTTCATCCCTACTGGTGTTCCCATTGTCCACAGTGTTGATACTGTTGGTACCATTTTCCTGATAATATGGGGTTTTTTTCTGCTTTCTGGGCTGTTTTCAGACCCCTTGTCAGCAGGAGCTGGATCAGGTCCTGGAACGCATCTCCACCATGCGGCTGCCAGATGAGCGAGGGCCCCTGGAGCACCTCTACTCCCTTCACATCCCCAATTGTGACAAGCATGGCTTGTACAATCTCAAACAGGTAAGTGGGGAGAGTGGGGGCTCTGGGGCTGTCTGTGCTTCCAGCAGCAGCCCTTGGCTCACTTCACTGTCTGTCCCCACCATGTGCAGACACCGAACATGCATAGTTCAGGGCTGGGCTGATACCCTATGCATGACGTCAGGTGTGGGGTAAATAGAAAATGCTGCACATGGCATGGACAGGTTTAGTTACACCCCTGTGCATCTGCAGCTACTAGTTTGCAAGTGGAGATGAAATCCACATCCACACATGGCTGTGGACAGTCCAGAGATGGAGAATCAGTTTAGTTCTTCTTCCCCACAAGAGCTGCTCATCTGTCCAGGTATATTTTAATGAACTTTGAGCCAGATCTTGTCCTGTCTGGGCTCTGCTACAGGAGAAAAGCAGGGGGAAGAGGGACTGAATACTGACCAGTCTTGCAGACAAAGCAGAAGGTGCTTCTGGGAGTCAGGAAGGTTTCTACTGTGCTTTACTGGTTTTCCTCCACAAGTTGAGGCTGGTCCCACAGCTCCAGGAGGGATTCCTTCCAGGCAGGTGGGGGTTGGGGTGCAGCATGCTTCTGAAGGTATTTATGGGACCCAGAAGAACTCAGAAAACTTGTGTATCTGAATTCTGACTTCCTGGCTTCATTCATGTAAAACCACCAGGTGTCAGTGGCTGAGGAATGGGAAAAAACTGCCAGGAAAAACAGCAGGAACAGCTGGTGTAGGGTTGACTGGAGTAATCTGTGAATAGTACTTGGATATGAGGATTCCTTATAGCTGAGCCTTTAGAGGGGACCCATGCTGTTTTCATGGCTAGGCCTTTTACACAGGGCTACTTCTACCCCTTCATCAGAAGCATTAAATTAAAAAAAAAAATTCTTTGAGAGTATCTCCCTCTGTATGTTCTCCTGTCTTTGTACTACTTGGGCCCTCACCCATCTACCCCTGAAGAGCCCCATGGGCTGGCTGGATCCCCCAGCATGACCACACTTGGAAGGGCTGGATGGAGCAGAGCTGGCAAATTGCCTGTAAGATGAGCCATGTCTGGGGAATGAGCCTGGACACTGCGGTGATACTTTGTGTGCTACGGAAGAAAAAACAGTCTCTGCTGCTCCTTGTGCCTGAGGAACAAGTCAGCCTGCACTGGCCTGCTTGGAGTAACTTCGCATCTTGCACTACAGCCTGTTCAGAAATGTATCTGCTGGGGCTGGAGGGATGAACATCAGGTTCAAAGTGCAGCACTGCAGGGCAGGAGGAGGACAGTAACTATTAGACCAAGAAACTTTTCTCTAATGAGACTAGGAGGACAGAGGCCAGGTCCAGATGCACCATGGTCCCTGCCTCTCTTCTGGGATAAGTGAATCTCTGTTTGGTCTGGCTGTGGGGGCCTTGATCTGATGTTTGTTTAGCCTAATCTGCAGGTGAGAAGACTATTTTGCCGCTCCTCTGTCAATCTGTTCTCATCCCTCTTTCCTAAGGGATCTTTGTCTCTTTGGATGCTTTTCATCCACAGTTGGCAAAGGGTGATGCATTTCAGGGACACTTGTCCTTCTGGTTCATTAGAATTGGCTTCTTGGTCCCTGGCACAGCCCCTGGGGAAAGAGGTTCAGCCCTCACCCTGGACTGCTGGAGTAACATGGCTGGTGCAGCACAGGCCCTGGGGGGTTTGAGTACAGCATCCCATGGATTTTGCCTGAATCTAAACTCTAGTGCCAGTTCATCAGAGAAACCCCAGCTCTGCCAGTGCTGGGGCTTTGGGCTGGGTGACCTGGGAAGTGGTTTGTTTTGTCCTCTTGACTCTGACGCGTGTCCTGTCCCTCTCCATGCAGTGCAAGATGTCGGTGAATGGGCAGCGTGGCGAGTGCTGGTGCGTGGACCCCATCCATGGGAAGGTGATCCAGGGTGCACCCACCATCCGGGGGGACCCCGAGTGCCACCTCTTCTATACAGCCCATGAGCAGGAGGACCGGGGAGCACACACCCTGCGGAGCCAGTAGACAGATGTGATCTTGCTGGCTGGAGGTGGCTCACTGTGGCCCCAGTGCTGGATTTTACATGGGTTTCAGCATGTCTCTTTAGGCTCTGGAAGAGACTGGGTGCTGCCCTCCTTCCTCAGCTGCCTGGTTCCTGGGGAGGGGAGGGATAAGGGGAGGGGAAGCTGGTGGGGGGTTTGCAAGGAGAAGGGACTGCTTTCTTAGTCTTTCACCCAACATAAACCAGAGAACTGGTCTTTTTTGCTCCTCGCCCTGCAGCCCTGCCCTCCCTGCTGCTTTGCGGCATCTTTCTGCACCCTCCAGCACAGAGTGCCATGTGCTCCCTGACCCCTCCCAGGGGACGAAACCCCTTGCTATGAGTGGGAGAGGGTAAAAAAACTGAAAGAGCCCAGCCTTTTCCCCTCTTTTTCTCTCTTCCCCAAGACCAAAGACTGTAAATACTGTCACCTGCCTCTTGTGTCCTGCCAGTCAGTCTCTTGTGCCCCAGCCCAGCCATCAGTCCTGGCATGGGATGTAGTGTGGGAGGGAGGAAAGGAAGAAAAACCCTGGATTCCCAGCTTGAACATATCACCACAGTTGGGATGTTGCAGTTCCTCAAGGAAGCAGCAATGAGGGAAAGGGCTAAAGATGAGACAGCTGCCACCTTGCCCCCTAACTAACACTCTTGGGTGCTTCCTTTGCTTGTGCTGGGGCACAGCCAACTCCAGAGGGGCCCAGCTTCAGTCACTGGTGTGGGAGCATGGGGTCTTTGGGTGATAGCAAAGCTAAATGCTTGTTTTTCCAAGGGATTTGAAGGGCTTTTGCACAGTATTTCTTAGGATCAGCTTATGCCGAGGGAGCTAAAATGAACTTGCCGAGGCTGGGTGGAAGGATGCGTGTGTAGATTTAGGATAACAAGCCAGGGAATGTCTCTCTTTCTCTCATTCATTTTTTCTTTATTTCTAGATAGGAAAAAACAAAACATCTAAAACCTACGTTCCCAAGCAGCTGCCCTTGTCCCTCCATTTTTGCCTGGGACTCAAGTGAGCATCTGTTATTCAGCACATAACTTTTTCTTTTTGTAAGTAAATTACAGTATATATCTTGCTTTGTAAAGGCCCTCACTCACACACACACATGCAAACACACACACACAGACACACACATGCACACACTCTCACACTTTTCTGCCCACATACACATATGTATAGATGAAATCCAAGTGATTCCAGGTGCTCTGAGAGGTTTTGTGCTGGACATGCTGAGGAGAGATGTGTCTCTGCTGTTAATTCACCTGTTGATTTCTTTCTGTACAGAACACACTGATGCTGAGAATAAATAACTTCCCCATCGCCTAAGCAAGGAGGTTTTATTACTTTTTTTTTTTTTTTTTTTTTTTTTTTAAAAATGGATGTCCTTATTAGAGCAATTGCAAAAACCTCCTTGGAGTAAACGTCTCGGGCTTTTCTTAAATGGTTTGTTGTTTCTTATCCCCCTTCTTGGACCCACATTTCAGATCCAAAGTGTGAAGGGCACAGGTGGGCTTTGTTAAATTAGGGCCCTCGTGCCTTTGCAAGGGTTTGGACATGGCAGTGGAGGAGACTGGGGAAGAACCCCCTTTGGAAAGGGGGCATCCCCTTTGGGGATGGGCATATGTGGATGTGTATGAACGGGAGCAAATGAAAGAAGAAAACACACCTCCATGCAAAACCAAGTAACTGTAAAAATGATGCTACCTGTTTTCTGTTAACATCTGAGGGTGTTCTGCTTTTTCATATAAAACTTGCACATGCTGGCTCTCATCTGCAGTTTGTACTTTGTTTTGTTTAGGAATAGGGAAGTTTTGTTATTTGTTTGCCTTCCTTTTTAAGAAAGCCAAGATACATAAGGTTGGAATAAATTAACTAGGATTCCAGAAAACTGTTGTCTTTCCCCTCGACAGTACTCACAGGACGTTTCTTTTCCTGATGCATCACACACAGATTTGTCCCTGTTCATCCTTTGTCCATGACTGACAGGCAGTAATGGGAGCTGAGCTTTTCATTGTTACTGGCCCTGGTTATGTGGGCAGGGAGGAACTGGTGTTACTCCTCCTTTGCCTGGCTATATTCCTGCTGTACACATGGGTCCTTGTGAATCTGTTGGGAAGTGCAGGGAGCTACAGGCCTCTGTGTGTGACCACAGCTGCTCCACTCATGTAGCTGTGGAGAGAGGTCCTGCACCTTCTCCCAAGGTGACAAGTGCTGCCAAAGGGAGTGTAACAGCAGAGCTTGGTGTTTGGGCATCACAGAGAGGCAAATAATAATAAAAATTAAAAAAAAAACCCCACACTACATTCAATTAAAATTGCAGCATTGAAGGAGAGGCTCTTTGCTGGCTCTAACATCCTGCATCCAGCTGGCTGTGTTTTTCCTTTGGACTCCCCAAAGGGAGGCAGCACCATTGGACTTGTTCCCCTTCTGTTTTCTTCTATCTCCTGCCACAAATTTCAGACTGACACACGTTGAGGGGCTTGCCAGTGCTGAGGAGCGCCTGGAAACTGTATGGGAGCAGGAGGCAGTGATTGCAGGGGAGGGGAAAGAGGACAGGCGTGATGGGGGGGTGGGATGTAGGCTGAAGAACAGGGGAAAAGCAGCAAAATTACTGTCCTGTTCAGTCTATCTGGGGTGAACTGGAGGTGGCTCAGGTGATGCCATGGGGGGGATGCTGAGTAGCAGGGTGGGCCACAAGGGTGCTCCAAGCCAGCTGCTGCCCAGAGAGGGCTGGAGGTGGCAGACGTGCCCAGAGCCCAGCAGTGTCTGGGGCCACCGTCCTGTTCAAGGGCTGGAACAAACCCTTGAAACAAGGGGAACAAACACGAGCTGTGTGTGACACCTTCCACTAGACCAGGCTGCTCCAGGCCCCATCCAACCTGGCCTTGAACACTCCCACAGCTTCTCTGCCCAACCTGTTCCAATGCCTCGTCATCCTCATAGCGAAGAATTTCTTCCTGAAATTTTTACTATAAAAACCTGTACAATAGCACAATATAAACAAGGATATTTAATATAAAGAACATCCTTAGTGTAAAAATGTATGTATCTGTGTATAGCTGTAGCTACTTATACACATGTATACAGCTCCAGCTGTCCTTAGGGATGTGATTTATCAGCGCGTGGCTGAAGGCAGCGCTAACTTTTTGCATGGAAAGCCAGATTTCAGGGCCTCTGCGGCTGGAAGCGGCAGCACCGCGCCCGGGCCCCGTCGGCCGGGCCCTGAGGGTAAGGCGGGCGGGCCGTGGCGCCGCCTGGTGGCGGCTGCGGCGCCGCGCGGCTCCTGCCCCCTGTGCTGCCGGAGGGGGCCGGGCTCGGCCGTGTGCGGTGTCCGGGGGCTCGGGGACACGGTATCCATCGGGACAGGGTGGCTGTGCCAGCTCCATGTGCTGCAAGATGGCTGCGGGATGCATTGTTAGGCGTAGCCCTGGCAACCCGCGGTCCTCAGTGCAGGGGCAAAGGGGATGATTTCACCTCCTGCCCCGCTCTGGGCACCCAGCTCTGGTGATGCTGGCAGGTGAATGGAGGGGAAGAGGGCTACAGGAGAAGGGAGATCGGGGGCAGTGGGAGAATGAAGGGTGATGTTTGTCTGGGCGGTAGGGCAGGGTCAGATCCAGCACCGGGGAGGGATGAGCCACCAAGAGCTACCACAGAGTGTTTGAGGACCACGGCCTGGCTGGGCTGAGCAGCTCCAGGGATGTTCCTGCTGCGGGGACATTGGGGCAAATCTTCCAGAGGCCCCAAGAGGTCTGAGACTCAAACAGCACACGTCTGCTCCCAAGCTGTGGAGCTCAGTTTGAGATAGCATTTAGGGACTTAACGTCACTGGTTGCCAGGTACTTTGCCCTGGTAAACTGGTTGAATGTGCACTGCCACATCCATGCAAAGAAAATTCTAAAAAAAAAAAAAAAAGATAAAAAATTGTAGCTCTGCTTGTAGGAAGCTGTAAAGTTAAGCTTGCAAACTTTTACCAGTCACCTAGCAGGTTGTTCTAGTATGAAAATCTCCACTAAAGCATTGCCACTCCATGCCCTGTACTCCCCGAGCACCCTTGTGGATCTGGCTAAGCCCCCCAAGGGACCCAACACAGGCAGCCGTGGGATGCTCGGGGCTGGAGCAGCTCACTGGCAGGCCCTGGCACACAGATGCTCCACGAGGGTCAGGCACGAGCTAACTGAATGCATAACTTTATTAAATAAATGCTTTGTCATGAGAAAAGACAAAGATCAAAGAGTAACATAAATTATAAGTTGAATAAATAGTATACAGCAATCTTCACTTTTTAATAAAATGTGAGATTTTTTTTTTTAAGTACAAAATGCTAAACAGAGCATTAAGCTCTTCTTCCATTGTCAGTTTTTCACAAACTGCTTTTTTTTTTCCCACCAGTAAGATTATGAGTATTTCTTGTTTACTGGAAAAAAAAAAAACAAAACAACAAAACCAAAACGAAACAACAGAGCTACCGTATGTATGTAAAGCTATAAAAAGCTACCGTAAAATGTGTAGTGAGTATTGCTTAAAGATAAAAACCAGGCAGGAAACTCGGAATCTGGTGTGTTTTAACAACTGTGTTACAACGGTGGGTAACGTGCGTGGTGACGTCTGTCCCGGTGGCAGTGGCGGTGGCTGGTGGGGCTGGGGAGGGGGCCACAGCAGGCAGGGCTCCTAGCCAGGGCCAGGACAGCTGTCTGGAAGCGAGGTGAACTGACAGTTCTTTAAATATACAATGCTCCATTTGGGGGGAAAAAAATCAACAATGACAACAAAACAAAACAAAACAAAAAAAAAAAAAGAAAACTAAACCAACAGCAAGAGTTTTCATGGGGAAGGTGGAGAAAAGGGGAAGGGGGGAGAGAGCGGAGAAATAGTGCAAAATGCTCTTGTACTAGTGGTTTTCAAAGTCCACTGCAGTACAGACAAGGGGCAGCCCAGCCACTGAGCGCCGCTCCCTGGCAGATGTGGTGGAAGGGCTGTCCTGAGCCATCCTTGTCCTCTCCTTCCCAGCTCACATCCTAGATACCAACGTGGGCTCAGCACAAATACCGCAACCAGAGACCCCTGAGCCTCACAACCCCCCAATGCACAAATTGCTGGCATCTCCTGGTGTGCCTCAACCCTCCCCAGCTTCCAAATCTGCCCCTTCTGGTTTTCTCATCCTAAATGCACAGGGGTGCTGCTGGGTGCTGAGAATGGGAGCACCTCATCACTGCCACCTCAGAGGGTGACCAAGCCCTCCTGAAGTCACTCTCAATCCCAGCCCAACCCAGGCTCCAACCCCGGTCCTAAATATTACTGCAGCCTGTAAACAGCCTCGTCCTGCTGGGGATCCTTAAGGGAGTGGGCAGCTGGGGGGGGTCACTTGGTGCCCCATCCTGGGAGCTGAGGTGATCTGGGGGGTGAGGCTGGTGCACCCCAAATGTCCATCATCCTTTCCCCCAGGTTTGTGGGGACAGGATAGGCAATGCCATCCCAGCATGGGGTGTGCAGGGGTGAGGGAGGCTGTGTGGGATGGATTTTGGTACTCTGGGCTCCCAGGGCCACGTAGACTTGCTTGGTAGGGAGAGGACAGAGCATTGCCCTGTGTCCCAGTATCTGTGGTGGCCTCATTGTGACACCACCGTGGGGCCCTGTGAGCTCTTACCCTGCAAAAGCATCCTCGCCAAAAGGCAAGGTCCATGGGGGCCTGATGCCCTTCCCGTCCCACCCCGGGGGCACGTCTCCTTTCTCTGCAGCCAAAGGCTTTCAAGTTTTGGGAAATTAAACAAAAAACAAAAACAAAAACAACAACAACAACAAAAAAAAAAACAACCAAAAAAGCAAGAAAGAGGAAGAGAGAAGGAAGGAAGGGTCCTGGGAAAGGTGGTACTGGCCTATGACAGTCAGGAGGTTTTGCACAGGGATCAGCAAGTGAACAGTGTCAAAAATGGTGTCCGGTGGCCCTTGGGGTTAGCACAAGCTCCTCCTCCTGCTGTCTTCACCCCATTCTTCACTCCACTTGCACCCCAGCATTAATCCACCTCTCTGGTTAAACCAACCCTGCTCCATCAGCCCTGCAGAGCCTGGAGGGGTCTGTCTCTCAGCCCCCACCATGCTCCCCTCCAATAACATGGAATTACCCCACTGCAACAAGCTTTTTTGGGGGCACATCTACACTGGTAGCACACTTCCTTCTTTTCAACATGGGAAGGTGCTTTGTCCCCAGGACGAAATGTGCTCTGCTGGGTCTCCGTGGAAGTCCATAGGCAAAACTCACCCCCACTGTCATTTGGAGGGAAATAACCACAGGTGTCCAGTCCTGCCCTCCATTAGGGTAACGTCCTGGT